TTTGCTTTTGCTAATAATTACAACCCTTTCAGTGTCTTCCAGGAAATTTTTCAGTAGTCTTGAAAAAAAAAAAATATAGGTAACTCTCAGCATATATAGTTGAACTCCCCTTTGACTCATCAAGAAGGCTCCAATTTTCCACTTAAAGCTAAGGTATTTCTCAAGTGCATGAATCAGCACCTTTGTGGATAAATTAGTTTCCTATTGTGTTTAAACCCAGTCCAAGGGAGTTAAACGGTAAGCTCCAAGAATGAAGCAACCAGCCCTGGTGGTAATCCAAATATACAGCAGGGGTCAGAACTCGGAGCTGCCAGATCTTGATTCCTGGTGTGTTTTACATTTAGATACTACCCAGATACCACAGAATTAAATAAAGGATGTATTGAATGGATTCTGCCCAACAGTACTGCTTTCTCCCAGGCACTCTATCATTTATACTGCACTAAGTACATTGATTTCTTTGGAAATAAATAAAATGGATTCTAACACTGCCAAGAGGACTTTTGATTTCTCAACTGTTTCTATAATATTTTTCCAAAGTTATCCATATTTGTGTCAGGAAGTACTCAAAATGGAAGCCTTCAGCAATTACTAGCCAGTCTTTAGATTTTAAGAAATGAATCAGATGTACCTCAAAAAAAANAAAAAAAAAAAAAAAAAAAAAAACACATGAGAAGGGGGATTTTTCAGTAAATTAGGATTTCCTTCAGAATGGCTCTTTCACCAGTCCAGGTATTTCAATAGAATAGACTTGATCGTCCCCAAGGGACTTCTGCAGGGATCCACATTAAAGCAAAATTACAAAAAATAAAGTAATTGACTCTGTACCAATGCCTTATATATTTCCAGCAACATGACAAATCATATAATCATTTTGGTTCTTCTCAGTAAACATAAACAGGAACAAAACATCGCTTGAAAGGGTATTTTTGATTCAGAAGTGAACAGAACAAAGCAAGTTTTAGCTTGGTTTCTTTAAAGAGACCTAGATCACTGTATCACCAGGGCTTTTTTCCTTTTATTTCCCTCTTTCTCCTGAATTTCTGAGCTACCTTTCTAATTCCATCTATATTTAACAGAAGAGGAGATAAAATTTTCCATTCAGCTTGATGAAATACCAGGTAATTAATGAAGACCTGGTTTATGCCCATGTGAAGGAAAAGCAGGAAGGGCTTAAGCTCTAACCTGTTCTGCTTGCCCCTCTATCAGTACAGAGTCATCCACTGTCTCAGCCAACTCAGATGTAGCTTTAAATTGGCTACAGCCAAGACTGCTCTCACTTAGCCAGGCATGACATGAAGGATGCTGAACGAGGATTCAAGACTCTTGTTATGAAGGGGGTAAGAGAATCATGAAATAAAAGGCACAAATCCATAAGAAAACAGGGTTTGTAAGATCTGTTGCCTCTATTTTTAGAAAGTTTAGAAATAGCAGGTTAAATTCTTAAGTGGACAGAAGTACTTGCCAATCTTCCACCTTAAGTAAACTTCATTAAATTTAATTATGTGGTTGAACATCCGAATGTTATTCCTCGTAAGATTCCCGACATGACTCTAAAAGGGTGAAGTTATCCCACGTTTAACCACCAGAGGGCTGTAGCCAGCAAAAAGTTATTTTCCATTTCTATGTTCAGTACCTGGGGAAAAAAATTAAGCAACGTGATGACTCTGTTTAGACTCCTAGTTGGATGCAACTCCATAAAGAAACTTTATAGCGTTGAAGGAAATGGGAATAACTCATAGAATTGCAGCCAAGAGTATTGATGTCCTGCTGTCTTGAGATAAATTCAAAATCTGAAACCACTCCAGCAGCAGTCACTGAACACAACCCACTTAAAAGAAATAGTTCAGATTGAAGAAATTGGTGTTTAAACTGTCCACTCACACGTACCTGGTCCCTGGGCTAGTACATGTGCTGAACAGCAAGGATTTTCACCTGAGTTTTGCTTTTAAGGCCACCAAGCAAAAATAAGTTACTGGTAAATAGCCAAAGCACATTAGAGAAAGAGAAAACAAGGGATGGATTGTTTGTGCAGAAAAAGGAACAGCAGCAGAGCCTTATACTTCAGAGGCAGAGATCTGGAAGGTAGAATGTCTCCTTTCTGGCATACAGGTGGAAAAGACACTGACGAAGTGCAACACAGTGGAAATGCTTCAAAATTTTAAAACTGAGAAAAAACCTGGAAATAAGATGCCATCCCTGCCTAGATGAGGGGCTCAAATCAGGTGAACCAGCAAGGGGTAGGCTGGAAAAGCACAGTTGTTCTCAACCAGACGAGTGCAATTTATGCAAGTGCTGGTCACAGGAGAGCAGAGAACAGAAGGGCGGCCGCAGGTGACTTGGCTTTGCTCGAGGTGGACTTAAGCTACCCGCTGAAGAGAGGCTCTGAAGAAGCTTAGAGGAGTGTGAAGCCATCTGCCAATGGAGAAGCCTTTGTTATGCATTTCAAACCAACAGAACCCGCACTAAGCAGAGGGGTTTGCCCAGTATCCTGGCACTCCACAGAGGTACTAGGGCACTCGGGTTTTTTTGTCCACATCCCTCTCCTACTAGAATCTTTTGGTGAGAGAAAAGGTCCTGTATTTCCCTCACTGATAGAGATACCAAACAACACAAGTCACAGCATCTAGCAAATGTCACAAAGATCCCATATTACTCAAGGAAAAAAGGCTTTAATAGCACTTTTTTCTTATAAATAAAACAATCGCATACACCCCAGCTAGGTTTCCCGTAACACAATTCTTCATGAAATTATGTGAAAAGCTCCCTATAAAGCTTTTCACAGATGATGACATTCTACAGATTAGCAGAGCAGCAGCTTTCTATAGAATAAACAGGAGGAGATGCATTCATTCTATAATTTTCTCAGGGGAAACTTGCTAGGTTCAATATTCTTATTGAGAGATCAGTCTTAAATATCCTTGCCCTTTGGAAGCTGCCCTAAAGCTATCTTCTGAATATTGCCCTGATCCAAATGAGAGAGACGTCTAGAGAACATTTCCACTCTTTCTGCTGGGTTTGACCACTGAAGACACATTCTGACACTCAGATACAGGTTCAGATTAACAAAATTTCCCCTCCCCGTATTAAGTCTCATCTAATCATCTCTCCCTTAGCACATGGACTCCAGAAGTTCCTTATTCTTGTTCTCTATCTCAGAGAAAACTATTGATTCACCACAGGATTATTTAAGATGCCATTTTATGGCCAATCTTATCTCCGAGATCAAACTATACAAATTTGTTTGTACCTCAAGTTATCCTGAGCAGTCTAGATACAGCCTTAAAGAGTTCCGCCACTTTCATTGAATCAATTTTTGATATAACCTGAAGTTAAAAACAGCAGGTAGGAAAGCCAATTCATTGATCAGCTAATTACTTATTAAGCCATTACAGTAGAGTAACACCAAATTAGAGAATTTAAGCATTACAATGGCAGTAGAACTCCAGCAAAGACAGCTGGTATCTCCTAATAAAGCGTGACCTGAGACACAAAATCTAGGTCTAATCTATTACTACAAAATGTCAAGCACTTCTAAGCTTATGGAGAGAGAATCAAGGTGACCTGTGAAATACCACTTTCAGTTATACAATGTGATTTGCTAAGGCATTCTTGCCTTACTCATTTCACATTGGATAAAAACACTGTTTCATTAAACATTAAGACTTTATTCTTGGCTGGTACTTGTGTGAACTGCCTTTGCTTAACATCCAAACCTATTCAAGGCAAATGAGCAGCTCTGTTGTTGGCTTTGTGTTACTCACCACTAATCTTCAAAGCAATCACAAAATATCCTCAAAATCTCTCTTGACAAGTCTAGAACCACCGGTTACAAACAGTAAGGGGCAGAGACAGAACTCAGCTTTGGCTCATTGTATAAAAAAAAAAAAAAAAAAAAAAGAGATATAAAAATACCTAACACTAAGTATCCATGGTCTGACATAGTGTTCCCACACAACTTCATATGCAATCACCTGGATTCCAGTTAGAAAAATGAACTACCTTTACTGAAGGGGACATAGGAAAAAAATTCTGAAGTGACCTGTGGCTCAAGCTACAATTTTTACCTATCCCTACTTTTCTTAATAGTCCTGTTTTCAGTCTAGTCAAAAAATGGATTGGGGAGAGCGTAGAAAGCAAACACAGAGGGATCAGAAGAGAACCAGGAGCCACTGAATTGATCCCAACAAACCTCCTGTTACGTGTGTAGCTCTCTTCTGCTCATGTGCTCAGTGCCCTTTGAGCAGTGAGCAAGAATTACCAGTTTGCTGTCTCTGCAAGTAAAGGCAAGGTTCGAGAAAGGCCATCTCCTCAACGCCAAACTGCAGCTCCATCTTCATCCCAGGTACAACTTTCTCTTGGAATTTCTCTTCAGATCCTAGACAGGAATGTTACGAGTGCCTGATGGATTAGACAACTAGCAATACTCTTCTCAACTAAGGTACTCATTTCAATAAGTACAGGAGTTTAAGTATCTCTGTTTAGCCTAACAAGTTAACACTCACACCCAGAAAATCCATTTTGAAGATTATATATCTATATAATATATAGATATATTTTTTTATATATTATATATATATATAAAAGAGAGAGACTATCTTTGGTAAAAGATTCTGCTTAATAAGCAAGGCACATTTTTCCACCTACCTCTTCCAGCAGGTGTTCCAGATAACAGAATTTGATAGCCAGCCAACAGCCAACTGACTAGTCTAAGCTATCTCTAAGGAATCTGCTAAAGGTCAGCAGCCTTACGTAACATTAAGGCTTAAGTCCCTACAGTGGCACATACACATACAAGTATGTTTTAGGTGCTCGCAGGGGAAGTCAGAAGATGGTGCTAAAGAACAAATATGCAAGTGTAGGTAGTAATACTTGATATTTTTTGCATGTTACCAGCACTGTTATCCACAGAACATAATTAATATGAAATGAAGCTAAAGAGTCATAAGCACACATCCATTTATTTTCCAGCAACATCCCATACAAAAAAAAAGGCAATAGAAACAACTGCTTTCAGCAGAAAGTCTGTACAGTGTTATCATTTACAACAGTTTTACATTTTAAAATCAGCAAATTAAAAAGACTTGAGCACTGTTCTTTAGCATCTTGTTTTCTCAACAGCTTTAAGAGATCATGACTATTTACAGACTTCCCAGGCTACTGCTTCTTCTATTACTGCTATTCAAGCTTTACCATATGAACTCCAGATTCTTTAAGTATTTACTTTCCCATTGTTTCAAAAGCCTTTTTTTTTTTTTTTTTGCAAATTAAAAATAACCTGCTCTTACTTAAGAAATGCTCTTAAATTTAACTGCAGTGGCCCTGTTTACTAGTAAAAATAATCAGCATGGTTCAGCTACCACCTGCATTACCTACAGATACATTTTTTTTTAAATAGAGACAAACGAAAAAGCAAAGTGATATAGAGTCAAAAACATCTCTCTACTTTGCTCTTAATGTGTAGGTGGCAACTGGAGTTACAAACAACAATGTGGAAAAAACACGAGATCTTACTGAACTATTTATAATCAGCTGAGGACAGCATTGCCTTTGGCTATTTCTCTAGGCAAATGTTGAAATGTTTTTATAAAAAAAAAAGTTGAAATGTTTTATAAAAAAAATCTGATATACATAAATTAGAAGTTAAAAAGTCACACAACTTAATTCTATTTTTACATAGGTTTGGTCCAGAGGATACACAGACCAGCCACAGCTTAGAGGAACAGTCTAACTTTGCTTGGGCTCTCATACAATTAACAGGTAGAAAACAGCCCGCTGTTTAATCAGGCTAACCTCTCAAATTTAAAAGAAACTTCCTCTAAAACAATTTGCCCAAGACTATTTAACTCACAGTATTGAAATCTTTAAGTGGCTCACTCAAACATGCTTCTAAGTCAAATTCACCTTCTGCTTGATAGTCGATGTGTCTGACTTTTGTGGGAGTGCCAGAATAAGTTTCCTGGAAAGTAAAGTCAGTGAAAAATTAGTCAAATGCAACTTAGTTGCACAACAACATCTTTTGCTTCTGTACCTCATTTATCCCTCTCTAACAGAGGCTTATGAACACTTTAAATATCACTTTTTAAATATCACAAACAATACTTAAAGTAAAAAAAAGTGAAGAGTTTAAATGAATGCTTCTCTCTCCATCCAACTATTTCTTAAGATTTTCAATATATGTTCAAAGTATTCAGATACTGAAATATTATACATAGTAAATATTCAGGAGAGCAACCCATTAAAAAAAACTACTGAATTTCTATGGAGGCTCACAGTTCAACTGTGCAAAAGGTTTCCTGGATATAAAAATAGCCCGCTTCAAGAAGTTGGACTGAATTATGTCCTGTTTTAACATCAGGCATCACAATCTTTATAGCAAGTGTTTCCTCTTTAGACTGCAGGTCACAAGTGGCATGTCACAGAATCACAGAATGTTCAAGGTTGGCAGGGACCTCTAGAGATCATCTAGTCCAACCTCCCTGCTCAAGCAGGGACAAAGGCATGCTTTAAACACACGGAAATATTCTCTTTTGTAGGCTACAAAGATTGAGGTATCTCATCTCAGCAGATCATGCAAGTTCTCCCTGAACTAGAGACAAACACTGGCCATAGAGGAAAACAGCAGTTCCTCTGCAACTTAAATCACTCAGCTGTATACACAGTCTCTACCCACATCTGGCAGGTTACAGAGTCTTACATATTCAAGCTACTCTGGATATAATTATAAGTAATGGACTGGTTATTCAAAATATATTTATGCAAGTAGCAAATATTCTTACATAGTTATCTTGAGAACTTGTTTGTGATTCAGTAGAATTGCTTCCAATGGATTCCGTCTCCATCTCACCAAGATCAACAGGACTACTGTAAAATAATTCAAAAACATACAGCTTAGAACAAATTCTGTTTTCTCACAGTAACTTTGGTGCATTTTGTGGCTGTGGTTTTAGAACTGATAGCAGGACAAGAACAAAGAGACCTACAGAGATTACACAGACAGAGTTGACACATTGCTGAGACCAAACAGAACTCCAAGTCAACTAACACTTTTAAAACATCCAAAGATCAAATTGAAGCCTTGAGGCAAATACCCAATGCTCAAGTAATGCCTTAGTACAGAGGGTAGGTATGACGAAAAGAACCAGGAACTTACTTTCAGAGACAAGGCTAATTGCCTTCCAACATTAAATTAACACACACAATCAGACCCATCCCATCTGGGGGCAGCATTTCAACAGCAACATACACAGTTGCTAGTGTCTAGTGTCAAGCTAGAATAACAGCCGACTCCACGTTGGCTACAAATGAAAATTAACCAAAGCCTTTGGTTTTAGATCACATTGCTCCATAGGGACTTTAATTTTATCATGAGGGAAAACAAACAAAAACTTAACAACAAAAGTATTTTTTAATAGAGCCAGTTACATCTCTTTTCCCTCATTCTGTAGTGCCAGCTTATTTTATTTTATAATTTGCTTGATGAGGGCGTGGGGTTTTTTTTTGTTTTGTTTGTTTCCTACAGAGGAAAAAAAAGTCACATTTACATCTTCCAGGGTAAAAGATCACACTAATCTAGATTGTAAGCTCTCATAGCAATGTTTTTAATTTAATGCTACCCTGAGGTGATTTTACTAGTACTTCTCAGAAAGAAGAATTTATACCACTGCTCTTGGAATACTAAATGGCAAGAGCATACAGCATGTTCTCACACACTGTATTGTTATGAGCTCAATATTCATGAGTCAACTGAAAGTCTGGTAGCCAAACTGACCGGCAGGGCTTTCACCACAAATCGCTTTTCCCTCCTGAATTAGTCTTCAAACTGTTCGGAAAGGACCAGGCTGCCCTGCTAGTGTAGTCCATCCTTTATAGAGCACTGCAGTAGAACCTCTGGTTTCACTCTGGGGAAAGCTACTAAAGAGGGACACAGAGCCATGTCCTTGCAAGGACACCAGCTAAACCCAGTCCTACCAACTAGGACCAGACAAGTCTCCCAAGTCAGCTAACACCCATTCCGTCTGCAAGGGAGCTGAAGAGGACTAGATGGCACTAAATGTAGACAAAGGGCTAGTGAAAACATTTGTAAATACCCAGAATAGTGGATACATACATTTCTTGCAGATCACATCCTTCTTCAGTAGGTGGATCCCAGGAATGCAATGCCACTTTCCACAGTTTGATTTGCTGGTCCCATGACCTACGGCTGTACTTCTTAAATTTATTTGGCGTTCTGGGGTGAACTCCTGGTATACGATGGCATCTGCTCAGATGTTCAGAAAAATTAGTGCTTTTCACAGATATCAAACACCACACTTATCAAATAGCTTTAAACTCTAAAACTAGCTGTCTACTTAAGAGCCCAATTACAGAGCAGCATATTCTGAAAAAAGTAATATGACCTAGAGAGGAAAAAAAAAACTCCACAATTAGCACAAGTTCAGGCTTAAGTAAAAGATTATATTCACAGTTTAGGTTTTCCACCTTCTATTGGTTCAAATATAAATTATCTTAATTCTGAAAGCCTGAAAACTTCAGCATCTGGCTTCTGCATTTCATATGCCTTTCAAACCTAAGAGAAACAAGGCTGTTTTGCCTTTCAACTTAGTAAGGTTGAAGAGCTGACTGTGAAGTTTCATTTCTTCTAGTTGTCTATTGCAACTACAATACAAACACCTTTCGCTTTCATTTCTGCAGCACTTGTTTTTGCCCACACTAGTTTCAGTCATCTTGGGGAGAGGACAAAAGTCTTAGAACCAATTCTGCCTTCATTTGAATAGGCCTCAGATACCAAGAGTAGCCTGTTAATATACAAATATGCCATAGCTGTTTGTTATATGTAGTACACAGTTTTCTAGAATTCAAAACTTACCTAGGAACTTCTTTAATGTATCTATCATATGCAATGGTGTTTTTTCCATAGTTTATCTGTTTTTGTCTTCTCATCAAAACCACTTCATCTGTCTCAAGTTCTACTGTTACACTGGACTCCTTTGAGTCAGAACTAGAAAAAAAGTAGTGTGAATTTGAAAATATTAGAAAACAAAAGCTAGCCAAAGACAAAAGACAAGTTAAATTGAGACCACTGTCATGATTTTCCTCAACTAAGTTAGAAAATTCTTACCTTCCAGAGGAGGACTTTCTTTCTCTTGAAAATTCATTTATCAGGAGTTTTCTTCTGTATCTGCAAGAGTTCAAATCAAGTTTCTTAAGAGTATACACAAAAAGAAAATAAGATTCCCCCTCCAGCACACACATACATAGCTCACAGTTGATTACACTTTTCTATCACGCAATAATACCAAAGTCAACCCACAGACTATCAATACCTTCTCATTTAGGGAAACTGGAAAGATCTATTCGATAACCTCCCCAAGCTACTGTTCCCAAGTCTTCCCCCTAAAATTCTTTCCATAGTAACTATACTCACAAACAGCAATCGAGACAACACCACCGAAAGACAAAGAGATTTAGGAGAGGACAAAAGGGGGACATTCAGCAGTGCACATGAACTCTCCCAAGAGTCACTCTGTGGACCAGCCAAAGCTGGCCTAAAGCCAGCACTTGCTCTCTGTGGCCATCGGGCCTTCGTGAGTCTCTAAGCTTTGCTACAATCATGAGGTTAAATTCAGTACAGACTCTGCAAGACAAGTACCATTTGCCCTCTTTCTGTCACTTCATTTCCAATTGCACAGTACCTTGCAATTTCTTTGTTAACATTGGTCCTCATTTCATCTTCTTCCACTGCAGTTCCCCAGTCTGAACACCGTGAAAGGGATCCAGGGCCTTCTGGTGTTGTAAAACTGAGAAGAAAGCCTCTCTATTAAATTTTATTTTGTAGTATTTTCCCTCCACACTTACCTCCCCATTTTAGCTTAATAGTTATTTCTTATATTCATTTATAATGCTCTTTTGGGTGTGAGAATCTTACACAGTTCTATTAAAATAAACAAACCTCTTTGTAAGGCCTCATTTTGGGTTTGGAAGGAGTAGGAGGTGCATTTTTCTCCCCTTTTTCATCCTTTTTTTTGTTTTTCTTTCCTGTAAGTTTCCATACACATAGAAAGGTGCCAGTGTTTCAGGTAAAGTATCCTACAGCACTACACTGTGTACAGCAAATTGCACTGTACAAATGCTGCCCTTCAGAACACTGCACGTTGAACACCCTCGTAACTAATTTGCTCCCCTAGGTATTTTGAATCCACTAAAGGAGTTAAATATTTACCCTTTCGTGGTTGCAAAGTCATTAAGAGTGTGGGAGAAAAAAAAAAAAAAAAAAAACCACAGAAGTTGTACAGCTAATGAAATAAAACAATGGGATAGCAGCGGAACTATCTCGTGGGAAAACGTAATTTGAAGAACAGGCAAATGCACAAAATAGAAGTTCAGTCTGTAGGTCATAAGCTGAGCTTTGCTCTGCCTTTGCAAAGTGATCTGTCTTCACTGGAGTCTATGAGGGTCTCGAGCAGATTCAGACGGTTTCGGGGCCAAATCTCCTATCCCCTCCTAGCAAACACTGGCTGCCCGATTTCCCACTCTTAAATGCGTCTTGCAGTTTGGCTCCTCGCCCTCCCAAGGCAGGCGATAACTAAGGGGATGACTGAGTTCTCCTCAAAGCACTAACTCAAAACTGCGAGCTGCAAAACGGAGTGGTGCTTAAACCCCACCAGAGGGGCAGGAAAGCAGGGCTTAAGGCATTGACATTGACGTTGTGTTGTGCAACCTGGCCACTACAATGGAGGCTCCTGGTAAACACCAGTGATGGAGCATGAAATAGAAGAGAAGGGGATGAAGAATGTAGTGTTGGGTGTAAGAAATCACGGAGTGGTTGAGGTTGGAAGGGACCTCTGGAGATCACCCAGTCCAACGCCCTGCTCCAGCGGGGACACCCAGAGCACAGGACAGCATCCAGGTGGGTTTGGAAGGTCTCCAGGGCAGACCCCCCCAGCCTCCCCAGGCGGCCTCTTCAGTATTTAGCCAGTATTTACCCCGGGGACGTCAGCAGCGACATTCCCAGGGGCTGGGAGACCCGCGGACGCGGCGCCCCGCGCTCACCCACCTGTGGAGCCGCCCGTCCGCGGGCTCGCGCGCCTCCTCCCGCGTCCTCCGCCTGCCGTCCGCGCCGCGCTTCCTCCGCAGCGCGCAGCGGGGCGCGGCCTGCGGGCTGCCGGCACCAGGGGACACCGTGAGCACGCGGCGCGCCGCCACTCGCCAGGCCGCGACGGGCATGGCGGCAGCGCAACGGCGCGCGGGGACCGTTAGCGGCCGTTAACGGCCGCCGCGGCGTGCCCCACCCCGGCCCCCGGGCTCAGGAGAGGGGGAGAAAGGCGCTACCTGCCGTGCGGGCTCCGGTGGCGGAAGGACATGGTGCGGGGCCGGTGTGGAGCGGCGCGGGGCGAAGCGGAGAGCAGCGGGCGCCTTCCCGCCTCAGCTCCTTCGCATCTCCCGCCGCCGCCGCCGGCCCCGCCCCCGCCCCCGCCCCGCCTGCGCGGGACCAACCACCGCGCGCGCCCGCGCTGGGGGGGCGGCGCCTCCTCCCGCCGCGCCGCTCTGCGGCCGGGGGCCCCGCTCCCCCCCGCTGCTGCCGTGGTTCAGCCCGCGCGCCCCGGCCCCGCCCCGCGGGGCGTGTTGGCGGGAGAAGGCGGCGGTTTTGGCGCCAAGCCGGAGCGCGTGAAGGGCCTTGGCGCGAAACTGGGGTTCCTGCCGCTGGGAACACGGCTGGGCGCGGCCGGGGGCTGCTGGGCTGCGATTGCAGAGGCCGGCCGCTTCCCACGGACACGGCCAGATCCTGCTGATTCCGAAATGCCAGAATCCGGCACAGAACCCGCCAAACCGTCTTAGTGGTCATTCTGGAGTGGACTGGGCTAAAGGCTAAACAGGCTAAAACAATCCGTGAAGAGATGTCATGTTTTAGTAGTAAAAACTCACGCTAGTCACTCAAGTACAAGGCCCAGGAAATAAGACCCTTGGGAAGAAAACCACCACTCTGTTTCAGTCTTGTTCCTAAGATAAGCCATCTGGAGTGCCTGCCTTTTCTTTTTTTTTTTTTTTAATTATTTTGCTTGCTGGCCAAAGCACTGCAATGCAAAACAAGGTCCAGCTTTCCAAGTTTTCCACTTGTGAATGTAGTGACTATTTAAATTATCTCACTTTCACAAAACATATCTGTATTCTCCTTTTTTTAACCATATATACCTCAAAGACTCCTGCCAAGCGTGTATTTGGAAATCATTTTTTAGCTCTTAGCTTTTTTAACATACACTTACCTATTACTATTTACTATACTATATCTAGTATAATATAGTACACTATACTATAGTACTTACTATAATAGTATTACTACCTATCCACTATTACCTATTACTCCTCACGGACATTAGCAGCATTTTGAGAAGTGGTGAGAGAGGTGCAAGCCCCCTTCCACCCACTAGTGTATTTTCCCCCCCTCACAGCTTCTATGCAGGCTCAGTGCTTTTCTCCTCTGTGAGGATTGTTTTAGGATGTTTTTAGGGTGCCTTAGATGGGGCTGGCTCTGCACTCAACAAACCTTGAGCTGAGGAACATAGACAGAGCTGTTTACCTTTCTCCTCCCCTGCCTGGCTTTGCTGTAACTGCACCAGCTTACACAGCTCCTGCACAGCACCTGCATAAACATTTGTGCTTGTGCAGGAATGTTGCACATTCAAGCACTGATCCTTGCCCAGATGCTATTACAGAAAACAGGCATCTGGAAGTTCAGTAGAGGTTCAGCACCTCTACATGTCCAACTTCCCTAAAGCCTTGCACTGAATTAAGATAATTTAGAGACCATTTATCTGAATTCATGCAAGGCCTTAAGAGAGGATGGACCCAGACTGGAGGGCACACAGCACAGTTACCTTAACCCTGCTATTTGCAGGTTAAATTCAGCTTCTCAGCAGAACTGTTGTAACACAGAGTGGTGCAGGACAGTAACTAAGAGCCAGGTTTGTGTCCAGCCGCTACTGCAGACTCCCTTCAAGAGAAAAGCTCTTAGACTAACAGTACTACTAGAAATAAAAACATTTGTATGCCAGTACCTTCTGGATGAGTTTTTAAAAGGTTAGTTCTTTTGCATAAAGACAATATGCCAAAGATTTAAAAGAATTCTTTATTTACAAAGATCACATGACACATGGAAACACGCACACTGCAACAAGGCTCTATATATTACGTAAAATGTGCTGTACGGATCTGTTCCCTGTATGCACAAATTCCATGCTCTGAAGCAGAGACACACGAGGGAGCCACTGCTGTGCTAGGACATCAGTGCAGTCCATGTCTGGGCAGGACTGGATGGCACCCATGGGCCTGCACCTCTCCTCACCCTGCTGTAACTGGCTTGCTTTTCAGACAGAGGAGCTGCCCTCCGCCTCTCTTTGTGTAGCAGAATACAGAGCAAAAATGACATTCTACCGACAGGCAGCTCTAATGAGGCCTAGCATAATTCTGTTAAAGCAGCAGACCCTGGGAAAGGCCAGATCTGTGGTGGTGAACAGCAGTCACGCATTTCTGCGTGTACAGCAGCCCTTGGGGAACACAAGGTCCCACAGGCTGCCCAGGCTTTTACACAGCGTTTCCTGCATGTTTTGAAGTATTTACAACATGTCTAGAAATCCAGGCCAGGTTCAAGACTCTCTTGGCAGAGGTCTGAGCAATACAAGGTTAGGTTATGGTTTATGAGACACTGGGAGTAGTGCTGCAAAGCTGAATTACTGCAGTGAGAACCCCGCTGCTAACAGACACTTGTGCCTCAATACAGAATGTACTAAAAAGACTATAAAACTTTCTCTTAATATATGAATCTGGTCTAAACTCCACTGTAGCCACAGTACTCGCTCTGAGCACAATGCTAGAAAGATAAAACAAGGGTGACCAGAGCAGCCCTTAGCCAGGACACTCCAAACCCAAGAGCAGCTACCTGCAAGCCTGCAAATACTGCTGCTTTCCTCTATTTCTGTAGCAAACAGCTGCCACTGAATTCATCCTCCCCAATTTTCAGCAGCAGCGTAGTTCCCCAGTGAGCCTGTAACAGGCACAGAAGTAAAGTTCAAACATTCAAGCCGTACTGCTGCTCAAGCTACGCATCCCCTCAGAGGGCAATTTTGATAAACCTTTCCTTTTCTCTTGGTCTCACTAGGATTAGGCACATGTTAGCTTAATATACATTATACTAGAATGTAAAATAAACCAAGTGGATCAACACCCCATCCAAAACTAGTAGTTTGTCTTCAACAGTTGCAGGGAAGGGTGCAGTCACCTACATTCTTCTGAAGCAGTTCTTTAAGTCAGACTTAGAAATCTGGTCCAGGACAAGGAAAAAATGGCTCATCTCAGTGGATTAAGAGCTGACATCCTTCACTCTCAGTATTGCACCCATTTACCAGCATAACATTAGTGCACTGTAAGTAGCATCATCTCCAAATGGCAACAGCAGGATCCAAAAAACTGAAGTGGCCTTTAACAACACAACATACACAGCATCTGCCAACTCATAAAGCAGAAACATTCTCACAAAAGCTTTAGGGAACATCCTTAGCCCAGGCTTAATGAACCTCAAGTTTTACATTCGAGGCAAAGCTTACAGAAGTCTATCTATCCTTAAAGCTCTAGAGAAACCTAGAAGAGAGACATAACAACCTTTTATAAATATGATAGATTTAAACATTAAACAGCCACCCTCACCACCACATTACTGTCTCAAACTACTGTGTTATGGTAGTGAATGGAAGAGAGCACTGCATGTGGTGAGCTTACAGCACAGTATAAAAGACAAACCATATTATCTCTACTTCAGGAAGGGATATAAGGATCATTTAGAAAACATTACTTTCCACAGAAACAATTAGAGAAACATTACATAACTGATCCTGGGTAGATATGTGTCACAGTGAACTACTTGAGCCTTCCCAACTCCTCACATCATCTTTATCTAAACACCTTTACGAGTGCACAAAATATATTTTCTCTCAATTGCAATTAAGAAATTCTATCATATCACAAGTGTTTAAGCATTAAGGTTTTCCCAAACCTCTTTCAAGAAAAATCAAATGGTAAACATCTCATCATTCTGAATGTAATAGCCACATTCCTTTTTCCTAGGAAATCAATTTTTTTTTTGTTTAATAAACAGGTCAAGGCTTTTCTATCACATAACCCACAAGCTAGTTTTCAAGCAACAGTTTCCTCCAAGTCAAAAAGCTCCTGCCACTTGAGAGTTAGTCATCTCTGAAAACAGACACAGAAACTGCCACCCTCCCTCTATATACTGATCTTCACATGCCCAGAAATGGATGCTTCACTCCACAGAGAAGTTAAATTCACTCTCTACACTCAACTTGTCACAGAGATAGTTTTCCAGTTAGAACAAGTGACTGCACCCACCAAGTACATACACCCCTTATTCAGACCTTACATAGAACAAACCTACTGACTGCCCAAAAGACTAGAAATTCTCTCTGAACTGTGATGTAGAAGCATGTTCCTCTTACCTGCACAATTCACCTTGTGTTGATGACATATACGCTGATTGTCAGTCTCTTCCTCTTTCCATGCAGAAGTTGAGACTGCACCAGTCTTCCAAGGCTTGATCTGTTGATCCCAGAATATATCCCTAGCCTTCAAATCATTGTGTCACAGGAGAAAGTCCCTCTTCTTTGATACTTCTATATACAAAGGCTGGATATTTAAAATACTGAATTAGCACTTTAGAAATGATAACTCATATTGTCTTATAGTAGTAAAGAATTCCGTTTAAAAGGGTATCAATAAAGCTAACAGAAAAACTGCTATTAACACAAATTTTTAGTAGAGTCCTATCTTTCATTTCTACTACCACTTGACAATACTTATCTATACTAGTTCTGTGCCAAATTTTTATTTGGCTTTATTATTCTAAGATGACTGTGGAAAAAAAAATACAACATACTCACAATATTTCAGACTCTGCATTAGATCACCAAAGATCTAATTGAATCACATGAAAGATTACCTTTGTCAATAATGGATATTTGACTCAAAATACTATCTATCTTAATAATGGATCAAATGAATCTCAAAGTTTACTATCCCCAAAATAATGTTTGAGTATTATTGCAAATGCATAATTATGACTTCATACAAAACACTAAAGGCAGAAAAGATGCTCCTGAAACAGCTTAAAAAAACAAAGCATTATAAAATGCAAATATTATGCTTGCTGGTTGAACAGATAAACATTCCAATTTTACTAAGTAGTAGTGCCTAATTAAAAGATGTAATACATTAAAGGCAAAAAGATGAGAAAAAATATTGATCATAAGAGAAGCTCTGATCTGCATGAATTGAATATTAAGAATTAGATTGTGTTGATGGACTATTGTAACAGAACAGACAAGGTGAATACACATTATGAACTAACCTTGCAATTTATATTTTTTTCCTTATTATCTCCTCTTCAACACCTCCATTTTCCCATTCCCTCTCAAGGTATTCTGATTGATGTCCTTCCAATAAATTGCTGCAAAGTTTAAGCCTACAAATGGAAAATATATATATACACACACACACACACACACACACACACTCCTTTTGTATCTCTGTTTCCATTCACCAAGTAGTTGATTTGTTACGATAAACCTTTTTATATAAAAACAGTCTGTGTTAAATAGTATCTTGTAACTCTATTTTATAAGACTGCCTATAGTTCGCAATGACAGAACATTGAAGACAAAACTTTATCCCACAGCAAACACTGGCAAAAACACTCCTAATAAAAGCAGTAGAGAGAGAGATACACACCTAATAAAACCTGGTCTTGAAATACAGTAATAAAATGACACATTTCTATCAAAAAAAGTCCTAATATGCAGGGTTTTATACCTCTCTAGCCTGCAGTCTGAGTCTCTGCATGTTCTGCTATCCTGCAAAAGGCTGGATTTTTTCTGTTCTTGATCATTCCATCCTGAAGAACAACTGGCTGGAACCTGGTCACTGCACAAAAACAAATAACCACCTCTGTAGTCAGCTACAAAACAGCTTTATCTCTGAGGAAACAAAGACAAGAAGTTTTCAGGTGCTAAGGCTTAGCAAGCAGGAGGCATTAACAGTCACTGGCAACAGCCTTCCCTAAGATAAGAAAAAGTGAAAGCAGCACAGCATCTTGCAGGATTAGCTAAAAGCAGAAGCTGCAGGGAAGAGCAGAAGGGAGCCATACTGTTCCTCAGACTAGTCTCAAAAACAACCAAACCAACCAAATGCTGCAGGAAGCACTGGGGAAAAGGAAAACAGTACAAAAAAAAAAAACAGGAAGGTTAAAATAGGCCAAGGGAAGCTTCACAACACAAGCATTACATAGATTACCACCACAGTATTTACCTTACTTCTATATCATGCTGTATTGTCATTATTTCATCATTTTCACATGAGGTTCCCCACTCGGAACACCTTGAAAAAGCTTCCTGGTCTCCTGATTCTGTAAGACTAGACAGGAAGAAAAAAAGGTTTAAAATTACTAATCTTTTTGTTCCTCATTAACTCTTCTGGGGAGATGAGAGCTACGGAGAAAGGGCAGGAAAAAAATTCACACCTATATATTTTTGCTAAAGTTCTTAACAACAGGCTACTAATCCTCCCAGAAAACATTTTTCGCTTCACAATTTTGACAGCACTATATATACAATTAACCTGTGCCTCTTCAACATAGTTAGTCTGTCATTTCCCATTTAAGGATTACTTTTTACGTTGTAGTTATAAAAAAGGAGATTTTCTTCATCTTTGTAAGCATTCATCACTGCAGTTATTCTGGCATAGTTTCCTTTCCTCATCAGGATGTAAATATATTCAGACTAAAATCACTAACCAATAGAGGAACTGGAGAAGTGATAAGTCCCTGTAACATTCCAAAGTCCATTCAAAACGTGGTCTCCCATATACAGAATCTTTACATACCCTTCCAGCGTGTGGCACATATGCACAAAATGGTTTTTGCCTTTTATGCCTGTAGAGGAGTTAGGACTGTTCCGTTTTCTGCGTTTCCATACTGGAGAGGAGTCGGGAGAACAGAGGCTGCAAAAATAATACAAGGATGTTAAACACAAAATTTTCTTCCCTCATCTGTGTTTAAATTCCTATTACAGTTCTGTAAAATAAGGACACATACAACACAAGAGGAACTTTTCCCCTAAAGCAGGGCACACAAGTTAGAGCAAAAGGTGCAACTCTGAAAACACTCAAGTTTTGAAAACATTTGACTACTCTGAAAACTCAGGTAAGTCATAACTGCCAGTGAAACTCCATCGAGCTCGGAAGCAGAGACACTTCCAGCCCCACAACCACAGCCCCTTAACTTAGGATCAACAGTCTTGCTTCCAAGGGAGAGAGAGCCTATTTTCAGCATTTGCCAACTTCGGTTAAAGACACCTCGCTACCACACTACAAAGAGAGACAAGCTGGAAGAACATTTCCTTTTTCTACTATTAATAATTCAGATCTGTAATGCTGGTACTTTTGCACATTTGGTGCTTTGTACCAGAGATGGATTATGTTCAGTAGCAGAAGTGCTAAATGGGGAAAGAACTGCTCCCTCATTAAATATGTGCATTGAATTATCTCAATCAATTACAAAACTCAATTTCATACCTTTCTGGTGTATAATCTGTCTCTCTACATTGGTCTTCACAATCATTTCTCTTCTGCTTTTCATCAAATACCAGACAGTCAGAGTCATCCTGATCTCTGTAGACCTGTTCTTGGGAACTACTCGAAGGTTCTGTATTACTAAAAATGGAGAAAAAAATATTAAATGCTATCTACCTAGCTTATCACTCCCATCAGAAGAGAGCTAATCTGCAGCAATTAGTACACAGGTGGCACAAATGATTACAACCTCCACTACAGAGGACAACACAACTACAGCTAGTGACACAATACAGTTACTGTCCCAGAAATTCCATTCAGTCTTCTCCTCCCAATTCTGTTAAGTATTAGGTGTCAGTTATTGAAGCTCACCCTGTTACATAAACCTGAAAAGCTTTTTTTTTTTTTGAAAATCAGAAGTCTTTCCAACATGAATACAACTGCCACTATCTTCTGGAGAAGATGTAAAATCCTTCCAATCTTAAACTCTTAAACTCAACAGGTAATTATTAAAGGAGCAGGGTGGTTCTACTGCAATCAGAAATAAGTATCTACTGTCTTAACTATTGGGAAGATGGAAAGATTATGAAGACCAAGAATCAGTATTCAACAAGTTTATATTTATTGCTGTCCCTTCTCAGAAAAATAATTTTCTCTTGAATTGGCCAGTGCAAACACACAGGGAATGGAACGTACCACTGCAGAGAGGCCACATGCTCTCCTCCCTGAAGTACCTTACAGGGAGTGAATTTATACTAAACATTAAGAAAATTCTGAAGGCTAACAGAACGGGAAGGGGAAAATGTGACACCAGAAACGACTGAATGTGACTCTCTTTTCTGGACCTGAGTCCAATTCCCTGTTTTGCTCCCAGTAAGGAATGTTGTAGTGGAAATACAGAGCCGTGCTGTGAAGCAACAGAGCATCATTAACTAATTCACCCATACACACACTGGCTGCAGATCCCAGCTTTCTTCTTGAGGAGGATCCCAGGCGTGCAGTGCTATCTTCCACAGCCTGATCTGCTGGTCCCAGGATCTACGGCTGTACTTCTTAAATTTGTTGGGAGTTCTAGGGTGGACTCCTGGTATTCGTTGATTCCTGTTTTTATTAAAAAACAAGGTACATTTTAGTACATAATTTTCTTTCTTCAGAAGAATCCTCAGTCTATCAGATTAAGCAAGCATCAGTGGGCTAATAAAAAGAAAATACTCCTCTGTTAAAAGTTTAATGTTCTAGAGTATACCTATCTTAGTTGTCAGAAAGGGAAACACATGAGCCACAACTAACAATAGCTGGAGATTCACTAAAACCGTATCTGCGGTACCAAATAATCCTGTGCTTACAGCCATACCATACTGGAGTAGGTGCTGGTTGAGTCAATCCTCATTCAAAACAATCACTTGCCAACATGAATTAACTTCATATTAGTCTAGTAGCACATACTTACCAAAAATTTAACAGGGAACCAACCAAGGTAGAATTTATTTAAAACAAGCTTACTACCAACAACGACAGTACTTAAAGTACTTAAAGCATTGAGCTTTAAAGCTGCTTCAGTGAAGAAGAGTATTCCCTTCCCCTCCCCTCTTTTTTTTTTTTTTAAACAAAAGTATTCAAGTTTTACTTATTTAACGTGACTAAGCCATAGGCTGATCCCACACTTATGTCAAGAACAAATAAGGATTTACATGGAAACTTGCAACACACCATACAACTTACTTGGGAACTTCTTTAATGTATCTGTCATAGGCAAGCGTGTTCTTTCCAAAATTAATCTGTTTTTGCCTTCTCCTTAGGACCACCTCATCGGTTTCCCTTTCCACTGGATTAGGGGAATCGTTTGACACGGAACTTTAAATGAAAAACAGTTAGCATCAAGTTAGTAGTGTCACAGTAAGTTATGTACACACATGCTCTGATAGATGGTAGGGACCCGTTCACAGAGGTGATGGTAACGCTAATCAAATGCGCCACTAGAACTGATCAGACTTTCCAAGTTCATCTAATTGCTCCGGTTTGTTCCAAGTTATCATGTATCTAAGGATATCAGTAGTACAGCTGCTTAACTAGAGGTTCATGGATCATTCTGTAACAAAATGGTAGACTTCTGCATATGTGTAACAATCTAATATTTTTTAAAAAAAGGCGAACAGAACTACACAAGACAAAACTCAACACAAACAACACAGAGATGGATAACACAGAAGATTAGCTTGAAGGATCCTATAGCCGTTTCTCTCTCTAGGTCTGAATGTTGCTTTTCACTCTTCCTTTCATTCTCCAATTTGTCTTATGCAAAGCTGTAATGAATATGCAATCAGTGACTGCACAAACAACTTTTAAGATAACATAAAAAGTCTCTGTGCTTTCTCTCCTTCAAGTTTCCTTCAGGGATGAAATGAAACAGTTCAGACAATTTAACAGTGAGGAACAGTGACAAGAGAGAGAGGCCAAGATTTAGGATAGCTCCCTCTTGCCCAAGGTGTTTCAAATCTTCATTAATGTATGTAAAGCAGCTGGAAGTCATCAGACAGCTGTTAATAAAATCAAAGTACCTGTTTAATAATTACATAATACTCACTTGGTCATTTTTTTATTTGATGTCCTCATGGTTTTGCCTTCTTCGATTCTACTTTCCCAGTCCGAGCAACTTGAAAGAGGCTTAGAGTATTCTGATATTGGAGAGCTGGAAAATAATTAGATCTCTACCTGAAGATTTGTTGTTCACAAGTTAACTTTGAAACTTCAATATTATCATGCAGTTTTACAAAGAAGAAAGCTAGTGCAGTCTAGCAAGCTGCCATTATCCACAGCTGGCCATGGGAGTGCTCCTGTTCCATTTCACTGCACAGACAAACTTTTTTTTTTTTTTTTAAATTAAAGAAATCTGAGCTTCAGTCACCTTTGGCAATGACGTAAGGTAACAATCAGTTCTACTTTGCAGGAAAAGAAAGCGATCGTGCAGTGAAATTCATATCAGAGCCACAGAGCTGATAGCCTCTAAAAATATTGCCAGCTCAAACAACACACATACTGCTCTCCACTTATGAAGCTTTTTTTTCTCCCAATACCTCAATTCTACCACAGAGCACAATACTTGAAATTACCCAGAAAAACAAACAAACCAAAAAGCAGTCTAAACACTGCAGCCAGTGATGAGCAAAGCACATTGCAAAGGACAGCTAAGACACTATATGAAATAAAAGCATCCTGTCAAGTGAGCAAAGCTAGTATTTCATCTGAAATCACTAACATGTCACATCTTCCCAAAAGGCAATTTCAATGATATTACATTAAGCAAAAACATAGAGCACCACTCATATTGAATGGAATGAGTATATTGACCGAGGAAACAAGTATCACACTTTGCACACAGATAAACATATACCCACAAAGCAGAAAAGTTACCAATATATTTTTTTCCCCAGGGACATTTTCTAATAAAGATTTCAGCGGCAAAGGGTTTCTACCTGCTGTCCCAGTATATAACACAGGTACTCCCTTTCAGGCAGAACACTTGCTAATTTATTTATGTAAATTTTAGTTACCCAAACTGTACGGTCTACCCTCATGTAATGAGGATATCATGCACTAATTCTGTATTCCATACCATTGTAAGAAGTTCATTTGATCATATCCAAAGTTTTCTTGGATTCCTAAAGAAAGGAGCCACTTCACAATACAGCAAAGATTCAAACAAACTTCACGTTTATTCCTCACCATCCCACTTCATCATCTAAATGTCTAGACAGATCCTCATCAAACACTAAAGAATCTGAACCATTCCAGTTTCCCCATTTCTGCTCTGGAAAGCAGCAGTGTGGAGGCTGTGTAGAACCACAAAACAGTAATTTTCACTTGCAAGTCAGTCAAAACAAACATGACAACTTATATACTGTCCTTTGTCATTACAAAATGCTGATTCGTTTGGCTTACAGATAGATGATCTGCATCAGATTACAGCCTACTCAAGGAACACTAGTTTAGTAGAGGGATTGGCCAACTCAATCGCCAAGAAAGGTGCCCAATTAATGCAATCAAGGCAGCTGAACTATAATCCGTTAATTTTTAGTTAACAACAAAAACACCCTTCCTCTGTTTGGGATCCTGAAGGGGTTGGGGGGACTGAGGGCCCTACAGCCCCGACACACGTTCAGCACCCAGCCTGCAGGGCAGCGGGTCACATACCCGCAGCACTCAACGTTTACACAAGGCGAACGCAGGGCAGGGTCACCACGCAGGATATCTCGTGTCTAAGGGCACAGCAGCGGGGTTAATGCTCAAGCACGAACACTTTCAGACGGTAAATTCCTTACCGGGGACGGCTATGGGGAAGGCGACAGCGCGGTGCAAACACAGGGGCAGCAGGATTACTTCGCAATCAGGAGTTGGCTACATTGCCCTTGGCTTCCTCCTCCTTGGCAGTTCCTTAATTTATACTTGACATATAATTTATATATGTCAGGAGATTAAATAGCACACCTTCAGCTTTTACTAATCCCCGGCTTCTAGAGCAAAGCCCGCAGCGGCCGCGCAGCCACCACCCCCGGAGCGGATGAGCACCAAAACCGGCGCTTTTCAGCTCAGCAGCGTTTCTGCCCCGGCAGGACCCCAGCCCCTCCCCCCCGGGCAGGGGGCCCAGGCGTCCGGGAGCAGAGGGCAGTCTCCGCGCCCCGCCCCCGCAGCCGCCCGCCCTGTGGGAGCAACGCGGACCCCCCTCCGCGGCCCTTCCCCGCCTCCCTCCCTCCCGCAGCCCCGACCTGCGCAGCGCCGGCCGCCCCGCGGCGGGCCCCGCAACATGGCCGCGACGGGCGGCGCCGCCCGCCCAACATGGCTGCCCACCCCCCGCGGGAGGCAGCGCGCAGGCGCGGGACCCCTGCCGGCCGCGAGCTGCGCAGGCGCCGCGCGCATGCGCACAAGGGCACGTGGTGCGGGTGGGGTGCGCGCAGGGCAGCAGCGCACCCCGGACGGCGCCTTTTTATTTATGTATTTCATTTATTATTTTTATTATTATTAATATTATGTTTTTTTATTTATAATTTTTGAGTTATACGCGTAGATTATTCATGACTTCCTTCATTGGAGCGTCCCTTTGGTTTCTTGGGTCTGATTTCCACCCCCCTAGACTGTTGTCACAGTAAAAATTAAAAATGAAAACCAAAAGCCTCCCGTGCAATCAATTGTGCTTTTATTCACACAGCTTTAAAAGGAACTATATGTGTTCGTTAAGCCCTCTGCTTAAAGGCTCTCCAAATAAAAATCAGTTTTAAAATAGATAATTATTTGGGTAAAAAATGCTCTACACAAATAAACTCCGCAGGGTATCTTTGGAAGAAAGTTTCTCATAATGTTTGTCAGAGCATTAATACTCACTGCTCCTTAAATAGCTTTTATATATATAAATAAAAAGAAAAAAGTTGATTTTAAATATACATACACATACATATATTACATATGTGTGTGTATATATGTACACACATATGTATATACATATGTGTGTGTATATTTTTATATATATATACACACACACACACACACACACAAGTCTCTCTTAGGAAGTGGCACTCAGAACTTAAGAGTCTATGCCGAATCGCTCGGGTCTGGTCCAAGCGGAACCGCACAGACCTGCTGCCTGCAGAGCTTCGACGCAACAAACCCTCTCGTGCTGAAGCCATCTCAAACCACCAGGTTTCCTGGTTTCAGATTATGGCAAACCTCATTATTAACGAGCCCCATTCATAGCAAAGGTATGCTAAGACTCTAAATACATCCTGCTTGGTTAAAATGCCCTTCATGGACCAACAGATTATGCTTGGCGAAATCACCATTTTGGTGAATGCTGCAATTCCTGAAATAACAGTGGCAATGATACCTTTTGCTATGGCCCATATGAAGCTGAAGTGCATATGGAAAATTCAGCTATATATGTAAACATATGTATAGGGTATATATACTGACACTGTGCATCCATAAATAGATTGTCTTATGGTAACATCATCAAAATTAAATTAACATTCTGTGAACATAATACACCTCAGTTTACTAACATTGCTTATCTACAAGTCAGTGATGTGGAAAAGCATACACACATTTGGAAAAAGAAAAGCTTTAAATTACTAATAGTTCATGAAATTGTTATTTGTTTAGGAAACATACTATCCCACAACGTTACTTTTATCATTTTCTCTTAAACTGTAAATATTCTAAACACTATGTTCATGAAACATATCTTGATCACTTGGGAGACAATATATCTACTTTCCCTGCAAGCTGCAACCTTCCCTAGAAAGAGCCAGACTGTCTTTTGGGAATGATGGCTTGAAGTTATCATAAAGACAAGCACCTCTTTTAATATCAATTTTGTATTTGGTGTACTATGCACCACATGTAAGATATCAGATTTCCTATGCAGTTAGAAGTCATGGTTTCTCCTGTCATCTCTAAGGACAGCTCCTTAGAGGTGTTAAAAATATGGATTTTTAAGAAATTGGTTCTGTAACACAGCCTTTAAAAAGCTTAAGCAGCTTAGAGGCGGACCACACTAAGAATCTGAACTTGAGAAAATGCTTGTTGTAGGAATATAAGCCAGGCACCATTATAAATACAAATCATCCTTTTATTTTGGTATTTATTACTAAGTCTTCTAAGAGGCACTTCTGTGGACAGAGCACTACCATGAAGAGATGCAAAAGTATTATACGTTTATGAATAATACTTTCTTATGCTGTTGTGTTGGCAAAAGAACTAAGGTGAATGAAAGTTCCAATGGAATGAACCAGTTAGTTTAAAGAAAAAAATATTTAAAGAACATGAACGCACAAGCAATTGTGAGACTAAAGCTCTTAATACATAAGATACTGCAATTAACCCACTTTTCTTGTATAAAAAACATCTGCAACTACATGTCTCTATAAGGTTCTCGAGGTCTTTACAATTTAAGCTTCAAGCACCTTAGCATTAAATGCAGGAATTTAGGAAACATGTAGGAAACATGTAGGCATTGAATGCCTGTCAATTGCAGAGCCACAGGTCCATAATCCTACCCATCCTTCTACAACTATTTCAAGGATCCTATTCCTTGTATTTGTGCCACTTGATGTAAATTGCAGAAAGAGCACAAAAACTGTATTTGTAAAGGCTACTGTATAGTGAGGAGGTAAATATCAGATGACACCACCTGGCCCAGATAGAATCTACCACAGATTAAAAATAATAATAATAAAAATACTGTAGAGACTGCATTTCAAAATTACCAATAACTTTACCACAAAAGTACTGAAAAAAATCTTAAATTCAGTCACGGATCTGTGCCCTGAATTTTATTTAATTATTCAGACTTGTCCACAGTTTGGTCTGAAAATCAAAGCTTCAGTTTTGTCCTATGCAAATGAACATCATTTAAGATGTATGTAGGAAAGAGACAAATCCATACTGCCAGTCTAAGTGTCTTCACTCCAAAACAAGCAGTAGTAATCCAAAAGGAAAAGCAGGAAGAAACATCCTGATTAATAGGTAGGACAGACAATTGCATAGTAGAAATTGTATATGAAACAACTAAGATATACTCAACTGATCAGTGTCCTTAACCCAGACGGCCTTTTAAGTGTATATTAGAAAATAATATATACCCAGAATATATAAATTATGAGTCAGTTCTTATATGATGCTGCCAAATCTATATTTGAGTTATACCCAAAATGCGACTTGCAGCCAACACAGGTAACCATATCCTGGTTTGTCTGGTCCTAAGTGCAGTTTGGTATTCTCACCATGTAACCTACAGCTAGGCTGAGACCTCAGTGAAACATTTCACAGTTGCGCTTCCAGTGCTCGTGCCACCTTTAATGTTCTGTTTCCTATTTCTCCTCAAAGCAGCCATGGATATCCTGGTAATTAAGACTTTTGCAATTATTCACTGGCATGCCATCTGTACTGGTAACTTACTAATTACCTACTTGGAAAATCTTACAGGCTTTGAAATAGCTGAGCATTCTTTCTGAATTTTTAAACAGTTCAAACATTTGCTGCACTTCCTTCAAATAAATTAAAAAACAAACAAACAAAACATTACCCGAAGAGCACTGAAACCCCAGGCAATGAACCTTCCAGGAACATTTAACTATACAGATCCTATGCGCAGCATTAGCAGCATAGGTAAACACAGTATATTTCTGAATTCTTCTGTAGTTTGAAATAAATACATCCTTTAAAGAACAAGATAGAGGCAGATTAATGAAATACAAGTTCTCTGCACAAGCTGTACATCTTTAGGGATTAAAGTCCTTAGGCTGTTGTAACCTGTCCCCTTTCTAATAGAACGGGACAAGCAGAGAAACCTATCTGCTATACTGGTTTGGTGAACACTTGGAAAGATGAACATGAGCATTACTGATGGATCAATGAATAACAGCATCAATAAAATCTAATCACAGCATTTTTTTCAGTTAGCCCTTTACTAAAGGATCAAAATATCAATGTTAAAACTTAAAAAAAACAGAAAATAGTACCTAAACCATCAATGGGTACCCTTATTCCATCCAAGACATAAAAAAGAAAAATTTCTTTGAGAAAGAGCGAAAAAAGTCTCAGAAGTTATGTATCTGGAGAACAAAAAACAAGAATAAAGAATAAAGGTAAAAGTGAAAAGGAAATGAAAGGAAGATGGGCTCCTGTTTTCAAGGTTGTCAAAGAAAGCTCTGGAGTTTGCACCCATATAGAATGTGAACCGCAAGAAACAAAGCTAACAGACCTTTCAGCCAAGCCCACTCAAAATACATTTAAAAGTTAAAACGTATCAAAATATTGTTCACCGTATTATGCAAACATCTAAAATGCAAAATTTGGCTCGGCAAGTTGGACAAGGCACTTGACTTGAGAGCCAGGTCTCCGGGTGCTGCTGGTCCTGCCGGCTGGCAAACCATTTGCCCATGCAGGTGAGGCACCACATAGGACGACAGTAGCACTGCTGGCACTCTCCTTCATTTGGCTCTTGGCAGTTCTTGATGAGCTTGATATTTGCATTTGTCTGCATGCACCCTATGCACGGCTCCAGTTCCTGGAGGAGGAGAAAGATGTCATAAATATGAACTGCACAGACTGCTTCTTTTATTGCTTTTCAAAGGCTCTTAGAAAATTACCTCCACATAGGCATAGCAGGAACCTGAGCTGGACAGAGCCTCAAGGCAGAACTGCCCCACCAAAAGATATCAAACACATTTTTACATGACTCTAATACACGCTAACAAATGAGAACAAAGGAACTCTTTAAACAAAGAACATTCATAACTGCTGAGACATTAAATAAATGACTGAAACAAGCAAACTTCCCATATCTCTCTGGATCTGCTTCCAGAACACAGCAGCCAGGACAAGCTAAACAAGAGTTATTTCCACACAGTTAATTGTGTCATATGAACTTGTATTTGCATATAAGGAAACTATTTTGCTAATTAATAAACAGGAATTCACATATACTATGGGTTGTGCAGTCAAAGCTCTCCAGTAACTTTATACAAAGTTCAAGACCCAATATACAGAACACGCAAGGACACCTGAAAGCTCTGAGAAAGGAACCTAACAATATCTATTTTTACACTCATAAAATGGACATACTCACACATCATTTACCTTGTAAAAGTGTTTTAGCATTTTTCATTTATTCCCCTTAAATGTTTACTAGTAGATAGCTACGTAAAGTAATATTATTCATTTAAGACAGCACCAAGGTCATAGAAAGTAGCTCTGTTGCATGGTCTGTAGGTCCCATTTCCCCACTATCTCTTCCTTTGTCAACTCAAGGGTCTGCTCAGCCAAACAGTCACCTTCGTCACGGAAGGGATTCATTCTTTCAGAAGCCATCTCTCCTCTTAGCTTGTGAAACAGAGGCCTATCATAGGATTTAGGTAGACAAAGCTCCAATATTGAAACTTTTTAAGCTAATGGAGCTTCAGAAGAGGGGAAGATCTCATGTTGTATTTTTAATCTCCATGTCATAGTTTTGTGTTTATTTACCACTTGCTATCAGTCTAAAACTTAGTACCAAGTTTATACTTAAATGTGTCAGAAATTAAAAGCCTTTGCAAGAAAGCAACTCTCTAAGATATGACAGTGAGAACACCATACAAGCTGCCTGTGATATGAAGTACTCACTCCATCAGCTGGAGCATTTGCAACAGCCACACCATAAGGTAACCAGAGTTAGTTCAATGTATTTAACAGTGCTCTAATCACAATTCTTAATGTAACACAAATATTATAATCACCAAGTATCTGAACATTACTGAAGGAGATATTCCATATCCTTATTTACAATTAAAGCAAATCCCAATTAAAAGTCACTAATCTATTACAGGAAAAGATCCAACAAAACCTGGCTTTCTAGAAAAACAAGCTGGACTGGAGCAAACTGCACAAGAACTGTGACTCTATCTCCCCATAAACTTTCTGGAAATGTGTCTTTATCATTTCCAAATGTCTTGGGTAAAAGGTTTATAGAAACTATTATAGGAACATTTTCCATTACAGTATTTCTCAAATATTCAATGCTCATAATATAGTTAATTTTCTAGCAGAAGGCACAGAAGATGTCAAAATTTTACTTATTACGTGTTTACTGAAATGGAAAGTAAGTCATAAGCAGTCATGAGACACAGTAATCGCAGGCTCACTTATATTTAAAATAATTATTACAGAATTATTACAGTCTTCAATGGAGGAAAAAGTCTCACCTGATTGCTTGGAGCAGGGTATGTCTGATTAATTTCCACCAGAGATGTAAAAGTTTCTAGAAATAAATCACTGAGGCTTTGATGGATCACAACGTTGGCTGCATTAGTGATTGGAGCACGGAGCTTTTCACGGAGCTCCCCATACTCTGTGGAGTTCAACCTGAAGAGGAGATGGACAAAAGGTTACCTTGGTTATCCATTCAAATACCTTTTTCAGTATATTGAAGAGGTTAATATCAGGAAAGTGAGTGGCTGGAAAAGCTGACGAGGGTGATGCAAATTGGTCAGAATAAATCAAAAGGGTTTTTTTTGGCGGTGTGGCAAGGGGAGGGAAGGTTAAGCAATAAAATAAATTTACATAAATTTTATTCTGTTTTCTCACAGATGAAATTAAAAAAGGAAATACCTTTATTCTAGTTTTAATTTTTCTGGTGGGCACATATGGAGACAGATGTTCAAAACTGGATTTATTTTAGCATGCTCAACTTAAAGCACTTATCCAGTTCCTCCCAGCTCTGGAGTACCAGGCTCCCACCAATTCAAACAGTCACATACACACTTCTGAGTGTCACACATGGGACTTCCAGATTCTGACACCCCAAACCATGAGCTCTTTTTCAAAACGTAATCCTTAAATACTTATGAAAGGGAACAAGCAGAGCTTTAAGACTGGCATTCTGGGCCAGGACAGATTTAACTCAGACAACAACAAAACGTGTTGTCCTCCTGCCTCAACCTACAGATATAAATATTTAAATTCAGGATTAATGCCCAGCCCTTCCTTTATAGCTGGGTCAAACTGTCAACAGGACATACCAGAGATCAGGAAAAACTTCACATGAAAATAAAGCTGTGCTTGTAAAACAATTATTTTGAACAAAAGCAATACGGGTACATAAATCATGCAGAAACTGTAAAACACTGCATTCTCTGTCCCCCCTTGTTTAGGTTTAGTTGCTTATACTGTATTTAAATTCCAGTTTATAAGCTGCTGAGGACAAAGACTAGTTATTATATCATATAAACTATATGGTACATGTGTAGATAAAGATGTTAAATGGTATCAAATTTCTCTATTTTTTATGACACAGTTATACATAAAAAAATAAATTTTACAGCAGCTCCAAACAGCTCCTGGATGAGACCTAAAATTTGACTTATGGCATTTTTCATACTATGTCACTTCTGCTACAGTAAATGTCTCTAAAATGAGGCCCACAGACTACCTGGGGCACACGAGACCTTTTACAAACCTGCAATGAGACACTCTTGCTACTGAACATTTTTCAATGAAACTGAATCTGAATGAATGAAATTAATGAAATGAATCCAAACTGCAGATTCTGGACTCCCAAACTCCATGTTTTCAGTCATTAAAGAGCTTTCATGAAGTAACCCTGGGAACATTGCCGTGAAATTCCTCATTCTTCCTACCTCCAACTCAGTTCACTGAGGAACACATAGGGTACAATGCAGCACTGCTTCAGCTGCAGCTCCAGGTGCTCTCCACCGTTTTAAGCACTACAGGGTAATACTGTTTGCTAATAGATACTACCTCTGCAAACAACAAAGACCTTTGCATCCAGGGGATGCAAAGGGGAAAAATTCACACTGAAAACGGAGAGGAATGTGCTGTGTCCACAACGGCGTTTGTCTTTCATAAAGACTCAACTGTATCCAATTATAGTAATCAATGATTCTGTACTCTTAGAAAGGGAATTTTGTTCTTCTGGATTTTTAATAAAACCTGTGTTCTAGTAGAGATTTATTTCTGAGATGTCTTACTATAAGAACTTTCAAATGCTATTCTTGCTACTGCTTTGTGTCACCAAAAAAGAAAAACCTCCTCCTCTCCTCCCTCAAAGCAACTGTTTTAAAGAAGTCTTGATTTTCTCAGAATCAGCTGGATGCAGTTTTATCACTCTGGTACTGAAGCACTCACAGAAACTCTTAGTTCTTTGGTCACCACTTTTACAATTCTATATAAATCTCTTCCTTTTTTCTGTCATGCTTACCTTAACCCTCATTCTGGGCTCAGCTCACCTGGATCTAACACAATCATCTCATTCACTTTCTCATGCTTGCCAAAACTCCTCTGTTCAGTCTAGTAATCACTGTACTTTTACCTACCTCTAAATGCATGTTCCTGTCATCTGTTAAGAGAATTTAATTCTTACATGAGCTCTTGCTTTTCCCTCAAAAGCTGTAAGACTCCATGATCCTGATCTCAGATCAGAACAAAACTCAAATTGTTATGAATTATTAGCTTAAAGTAGACCTGACTGTTACAAATGTCAGGTCAAATGTACAAAGTGTCCAATTTTGCCCATCATTTAAAACAACAAACAGCACAGGCCCTTAGAAAACAAGCATTAACAAACCCCATGACGTTTTCCATTATTTACAACTCCGAGGACACACAAATCAAAGGTGACCTTAAATTACTTCCTTGTTTCACTTGAAGTGCAATAGTTTATAATTCAGTGAGGGCTCTTTCAATTAGAGGCTAATTGACTCAATTATGAGTCTTACATAGGAGGGAAGAAAAGCAAGTCATGGATGAGCAATCACTATTTCTTTTCCCTCAAAAATTGGGAGACGAAAGATACTCCGTTTCTTTTCTGTTCTCCGGCTTCTGTTCTCCGGCTTTCACCCAAGTTTTTCCACCTACTTCTCCAACCTCCATCTCAATCCCTAGGAACACTAGAGGACAAAACCCTAGAGTTCTCCACATCTGCCAAGAAGCACTCCATTAACGTTATTCAATAGCACACATAGAGCATAACGGTGGAGCATATTTTGTTTTACCGAATATTGAAGGCCTTCACATAGGGGTTAATACTGGCAACTCGGATGGTGAGGAACTGCACGGGCACGTTGGAGTCTGGCGAGAGCTCGTGCTGCCTGGAGTCTGTCACGGTCAAGTGAATGTCCTGCTGCTGGGCAACATGCAAACAGTAGGTGGTCACTTTAATCACCCACGTGTCTGTAACAATCACTCGGGCTCCTGGCGCTCCGGTGGCGAATTTATCAATTCTTCTGAATTCCATATTGATGGAGGAGGCCACTGCCCTCCAACCCGACTGAGGGAGGGCGTGCACGGCCAGCGTCCGAGCGAGCGGGTGATTATTCCAGCCCTTCCGCGACCAGTAATACGCCAGGGCGCTGGTGACCGCCGGGAGGAGAACGGCGAGAAAAAAGAAGGTTTTCCATCCTTTGGGAGCCAGGTAAAAATAACAGAGATGCTTTTCTGGGGCGGCGAAGCACATTCCAAGGTAATACCCTGCGAATAAATGAATAAAAAGAGATGTACTTTCACAGAACAAGCTCGCACAAAAACACGCTCGCTTCCCGCGACCCCGTGCGGGGCCGGGGCCCGCGGGCCTCACCGAGGGGCAGCAGGGAGTGCGCCAGCATGGTGCCCGTGCTGCGCCGCACGTGGTACTGCACGAAGGCCGCGTCCTCGCTGCCCAGCCAGGCGCCCAGCAGGCTCTGCACGGTGAGCCCAGCCGAGCGCACCTCGTCGGGCGGGAACACGAAGCACACGGCGAACACCACGTAGGCCAGCGTGAAGGTGACGGCCGGGCTCTCCATGCTGCGCCACAGCCGCACCCGGCCCGGCCCGCGCCGCCGCCGCGCGGCCTCCTGGGAGCGGTAGTTCCCGCCCGCCCACGGCTGTGGCGCTGCGCATGCGCATTGCAGCGCGCGCGGCCTCCTGGGAGTGGTAGTTCCCGCCCGCCCACGGCCGTTGCGCTGCGCATGCGCATTTCCCCGCCCCCGCCCCCCCGCGGCGCCGACCGGAAGCTGCAGATTCGGCGTTTGCGCCTAAAAAAGCGATTTTTTGGAGGGGAGAGGGCAAGAAACGTCAGTACGAAGCAGGCGGGCCCCCCCTGGGCGCCGATAAAGCTTCTCTTTGGGTTTCCGGGGTATTTTGTGCCGTGTTTTGCCTCACAGAAGGATCAGGAGGGAGACTTAAGGTGTCTGTGATGGAGAGCTTTTGAGATGTGCGTGCTCCTGAACACAACAAAAGTGGTCTCTGGACGCTAAAGAAACACAAATAAGAGCCGTAAGCAACAAAGAAACAAAAACAATAGCTGTAACCATCAGTGTTTCTCTCAGATCCTTTCTCCGCCAATAATTAACCATGAGGAGGAGGAAGAAAAGGGAGGGGGGGCGCGAATTAAACCACTGTGGAGGACTCTGAGAAAACACCAGGCCATGCCCGGAGCAAACAGGAACTGCTGCGCCTGCGGTGTGAAATCTCACGCTACTGATGAGGATGAGGCCTTAAGGCTGGTTTGGTGGCCAATTGCGCGAGGCGGTTGCGCCAGTAAGAGCACGGGGGTGGTGTGCTCCGCATTTCACGACTCTGTTACCAGCTTTATAAGGTTCGGCCACCATTTCATTGCTGCTCCCAATGATTCCATTCTGTTGAGAACCCCTTTGACCTCTAGACTGGGCTATGACATAGAATTATTATTTATACAGGCATATAGCAAGACGGCAAATGTCTTTTCTGCCGTTTTACCACGGGGCAGCGCAAGGCTGCGGCTCGCTTTAGGCAATGACACGATGGCCGCCGCGGCCCAGCTCTTCCCCGCGCCATGGCGCGGCCCGCCCTTCTCCTCCTGCCACCCCCCGCGCTTCGCCCTTCCGCGGGGGCTGATTGGCGAGGGGGCAGCGGCCGATCCCGCCCCCTCGCCAAGACGCTTTCTTCATTGGCCAAACCGTTCCGGTCGCCGCTTTCTCATTGGCCGCCTGAGGCGGCCGTTGAAATTTGAAATCTTGCGGCGGCGGTTGCAGTAGTGGCGCCTGTGCGGTGCCGCAGCGGAGCGTACGGCCGGACCCGCGGCCTGTCGGCAGGTACGGGCTGTGGCGGTTGTCGCGGGGAGGGAAGTCCTGGAGGGCGGGCCGCCCCGCAGGGATGTGTGGGGCTCCTGCGGAGGAGCCCCCAAGAGCTTTGGGCTGGGAGCGTCGCTGTGGGGATGATGTGGGGGAGGTTCTGTGAGTAGTGGGGAGCTGAGGGGTTCCCCTCTATGAGGCCCGGGAGAAGGGGATGTGTGGGGCTACCTGCCCCGCTTGGAGCACGGCGGGGGGGGAGTGGGGCTCCTGTGGGGCTGGGGGGGGGGCGTTATGGATGTCGGCGGATTGTTACGGCCTTAGGCTGTTGATGCCCCTCTGAGGTTGAGGGGGTGGCTTGGGGGGCTCTATGAGCTCGAGGCGGGGGCGGGGAAGCTCTTGAAGGGTTTGGGGACCCCCCGCGGTGCGGGGGTGGGGGAGGTGACGGTGTCCCAGGGACACCCCGCTAGGCCGGGGGGGGGCGGGGTTGGAGGAGCCCCGGGGGGGTCGGGGTACTAGGTGGTGCAGGATGGTGGGCACCGCCCCGTCGCGCCCTTCCTCGCCCAGCCTCCCTTCCCTGTCCTGGCTGCCCACGCTGCCTGTCCCCACTCCCCACGAAGGGTCTGACCAGGGTGCTCCTTCCCCGGCTATGCCGGGGGCAAACGCTCTTGAAGGAATCTGTTAGCAGAAGTGCTTGCTCTGGGCTGGAGCAGGTCCACGAATATAGGTGTCATCTCTGCCAGTTTGTCTGGAAACCCTCATGGCTGCGTGAATCTCCAGTCATTTGAGTGTTTATGAATGTACTAACGCTTGTCCTTAACCTGGAACGCCAGGCAGGCACACCGCACTGGAGACTGGTGCTCTGCTGCTCAACTGCTAGAGGATCTTACAGGCTAATTAAGTAGGGAGGAGAAAAAAAGAAAAAAAATCTGCCTCTGCCCTGCATGTTCTGTGACTTTTTTAGGCATTTGAGAATCCAGGGATGTTTTAGGTAGTGCTGTTGAAAAGTTATAAGACCGTAAGTAGCAGTAGTGAAGTCCTGATCAAAGGAGTCTAGCATCTTTTTCAAGTCTTATGCAAAGCCTAATATTAAAAATAGTGGATATCTGAGGTCTAATTACCCGATATCGTTGCATTTATGTTGATGCTTAAATATCGAGTTAAAGATTGATACTTGTGCTTAAATGAGTATTCCTTTAAAATGTGAAGTGGTTTCATTTTGGGATCGGTATTAGCAAAGACTAATAGTGGGAAAATGACCTATGTTGGACCACTTAAACTAAGGTGGTGGTGGTTGTTGTTCAAAGCTTTTCTTTTACCTTATTTCCCATTAGCTGCTAGCTAATGAGGTCGTGAAAATAAAATACAGATACTTTTATGGACAAATATTTTAAATAATCCCCTTTAGTGATTTAATCCCACAAAATGAAGTTTGTTTCTAATACCTAAAACTGTAGGTGAATGTGTGTGTACATCCTGTTGGTATGCTAGGTATTTAATCTGATCTAGCAGTGGTTCATAAACAGTTTGATGTAATAAATCTGAAGCCTTCAATGAGCAAAGGAGGCTCTATGAGCTTGTGTTGGAAGGTACTGTCAACTTTACTTCATCTTAGACTTTGTTTTTAAGCTAGCTACGTTAAATAACTAGAGGGTTTTGAAGACTCAGCTCTTGATTAGTTTTCTTTGTTTTAGCTTGGAAGAATAAAGAGAATCAGTGAAGCTTCAAGTATTTCAAGTTCTAGAGGTCTTTATATATATATAATTTTAGGTATAAGACAACTTGGAATAAAGTCTGACTCAGAAATAAAGAAATAACAAATACAGCGATAGCCTTCTTGTTATTGCTGCTTTAGCTATTGTTTGTGTTTCACTGCTGATAGTGAGAAACCCTGTTCTGCTGTTGTCTGCCTTGCAGACAAAGGAGCTGAGTTCAGTAGAGAGTGCAGCAAATATTGAAGCCAATATCTGCATAAGGATTAATGTGAAGTACTAGAATGTGTGCAGAGACTTGAATTTAAATACATGGACAGTAAACTTCAAGCGTGAATGTTCCTGTTGCCTTTCTGAAGGATGACTTTAATCACCATCTTCAGATGGATTTTGACTTGACCTGGGCTTGTTGAGGGATGAGGAAAACAAGCTCTTTGTCAGGTGTTTGCTCTCAAAGCATTTGATGACATTCTTGACCAGATCACCTTTTCTAAATGATCATCTTCTCTAGCTGATGATTCTGAAAGAAATGGCTATGTAAGTTTCACTGATAATTATGCACTTATGGGGAATCATTCTTAATGGGCAGTGGCAATGTCTAATCCTTGCTATATGCTTTTTGTCATCTGGTGCTTTTTGCCTTTTTTGTCTTTCTGTTCAACCTCTCCCTCACTCAAATACCTGATGAGGCAACTACTGATTTCTAAAAGGCTGCAGAGAGGACTATAAAGAGAATAAAAAGGAAGACTAATTTAAGTTCTGCAAACTGTTAGTTTGTGTGGAATACTTTAAGGAGGAAAAGAAGTTAAAGAAAGTATTCCTCCTCTCATTTTTCTTCCCTAATCTTAGATATGTGATGCAAACTTTAGTTCCAAATTTGCCACATCAGACATACATAAAAGTTTAGAAGACCATATAGGATGATCTGTTTCTACCAGTATGTCTAATCTAATAAAAATACATATTCCTTAAACATTGCTTTTACAAGTTTTTTCCAATTTTTGTACCAATGATACCTATAAAACAGGCATTATTGAGCCTGTTTTAAACATATGAGCATGAGCCTTTGCATAAAGTCTGTGTGCGGAAAGTGCAGAGAAAAATTGAATAATTTTGTTCAAAACTCCTCCTAAATACACCTTAACATTTGTCTTGCTATTTACTGGTGTATGATGCGGTAATAAAGCCGTATGAATAAATAGAAAAAATTATGGTGATTTGCCCCTTACAAAGGCTATAGTTTTGTTAGAGATGCCCAACTACAGGAGACCTGACTGTACCTTAGTAGCCCGATTCACCTGAAGGAGTTGGGAATGAAGAAAACACTAAATGATACAGCTCCTTTTAAAGGATTAGCAGCTTAATTAGTACTCTTGTATGTCTATGCAGAATGTATAATATCAGCAACAACCTTTTAGCCATGTATTGAAAGAAAAGTGCCTGTAAAAATGTTCTGTTTGGATGCCTGCAGGGTGGTGTGAGTTACATTTTCGTATCTGGATTTTTAATACTCTCTCTTTGCAGCTGTTAATCTATCTTGGCTAGTAAGCACCCAGCTTAGAGTGTGTTTGATTATCTGAACATGCATCTGGCCGGTCACACCCTCCTACTGACGGTGCGATGTTGCATGTGTTGATATCCTAGAATGAGTCTGCAGATTTTAAATGCAGAAAATGGAGAAAACTGTGAAAACATCAGTGATGATCTAACAGCGGAAGACACTGGCTTTTGCTTTGCACCACCGGAACCTACAGGGAGGCAGTCCATCCTGCGCCTCTCGCAGAAAGAAAACCTGCCACTAAAAAGTGTGGCAAAAGCGATGAAGGTAAACTTGCTTTTGAATTGATTATATTCTTCCTTCCTTCTGTGATCTGTGGTGCTGAACTCAATGCGTATGCTATTTGAAACTTGAAAATACAGCTTTGTTCATATTCTTCCCTTTTTTTCATCTTCTTCCTCCCCCTTGCCCCCAAGGTGACCTTTCAAACGCCTCTAAGAGATCCTCAGACTCGAAAAATCTTAAGTCCAGCCATGGCAGGCAAG